AAAACTCCTTTGCAAATCTGCCTGCCTCATAGTCTTAAATTGCTCTTTTTAAAAAAAGGTATTCATGGGCTCAAGGCAAAAATGATTTCATACGTGGAAGAAAGTTTCAAATGCAAACAGCACTTTTTTATTCCTACTCTAGGTGTGGAATCTCATCTGGATGTTCTCTGAAACACCGGGATAATTTTTGTGTCATTTCTATGACAGCCTTCCTTAAATGTCCTTGGGGATACCTTTGTGTTCTCTCTTCTCCCTGAAAGGAGTGTGCACTTTTTAAGTAATGATACTGTTGCCCCTTTTACGCAATGTTCTTGTCATGTCAAGACTCTAAGCTTTTTTTTTGTCTACACAGAATCACCTGGCTAGAAAACCCTCTTCCTCTTTTCTCCATCTGGCTAACTCCAGGCTCAATTTAGGTGTCATGAACTGCTTTTCAGGAGAGCCTTCCCTGACCACCCCTCCCTGAGAGATGCCTGGATGAGTACTCCCTCTCCAGTATCTTCATAGCACCTGGGTCTACTTTGTGCATGTTCTGCGCTTGCCTATCGTAATTCCCTTTATTTTGATAAACGTTGTATTGTTCACGGTCACATTCACAGTGCCCCAAAAAGTGCCTGGCATTAGTAACACTCAATTAATATTAGTAAAATGAATACATAAATGAAGGATCTAAAAAACAAATTCTCAGATGATAGAGGTATACCAGAGCCATCGATTTAAAAACATGAGTGAGGCCAGACGCAGTGGCTCACGCCTGTAATCCCAACACTTTGGGAGGCCGAGGCAGGTGGATCACCTGAGGTCAGCATTTCAAGACCAGCCTGGCCAATACAGTGAAACCCCGTCTCAACTAAAAATACAAAAAAAACTTGCTGGGCATGGTGTCAGTTGCCTATAATCTCGGCTACTTCAGGAGGCTGAGGCAGGAGAATTGCTTGAACCCAGGAGGCAGAGGTTGCAGTGAACTGAGATCGCGCCATTGCACTCCAGCGTGGGCGACAAGAGTGAAACTCTGTCTCAAAACAAACAAACAAACAAAAAAACCCATGTGTGAAATCTGGCCAGCGATGCCAATTGACAATCTAGCCCCCATCCATGGGAAAGGGAACGAAGACACATCAGTGGCCTGCACATTTAGCTTTGGAAACGATTTCCTTTAAATCTATCTCTCCCTTTCATCTCCATTAAAGAGACTCCCTGGATCCATAATAGACAAGAATATAAAAGCATCATTCTCTTTCTCATCCCATCCTGTTTACTCAGCAAGCCCAGCCCCTGCTTTTGCCTCAGCCCACATGTTCTCTATTAATAAGAGTTAGGAGAGGCCAACCTCACCCAGCACAGTTTCCCCCTTTCTTTTCTCCTCAGGGAGGCCTCAGCCAACTGCCACAACTCCTGAGTGAAACGCATTGCCTGCTCTTCGGACATTCTGGGGGAGGTGAAGACAAAGGTGAAGTCTCAGCCTTCAGTGTCTCTGAGACTCAAATTGCCTCAAGTGCTTTCAAACCAGCAAGCAGCTCATTTAGAATTTGGTGATAAGCCATGGCCCTCATTTGGGGAAATTTAGAGGCACATTTGAAGGAGTAAGCTCATGTACTATAACTGGACATAGGGCCAAATTCTGTCTTTGGAAAAGTCAGTGAAGCAGACACACCCTGTGCCCTCTAAGTGAATTAATGTACTGTGTTCCATTTGAGAATCATTTCTCTCTTCATCTTTAATTCCTGCCCTGAGGAGCCATCTGTACTTTGAGGGTATGTGCACAGGATCACTCACTGAGGACTGAGGACCTTCATGCTCAGCCCTCGAGATGAATAACCCTTTCATACACTGTGGGCTTCCTCTGATTTTCTGACTAAACCAGACCTTAGTGGGGCGTAGAAATCTGTAACAGCAAAAAGGTTCATACAAACGTAAAAACAAAAGGCAATGGGTGATTTTCTTGTTGTCGTGGTAGTGGGGGTTGTTTTTAACCCTAAAATGGCATATATTAATCCAAAACACAATATTATTGTCCTCAGGATCTCATGATTATCTTTGACAAAGGAAGATTAAACATTCAAACTGTTTTAGGATTTTTGGGGTTGAGGAGAAGGGATTGGATTAATTCTTTCAGTGGACGTGAAGTCCTAGAGTCTAGGAAGAATTAGTAAGGTAGATGATATATCTCCTTCTTTTCAAAGGCTAAGGCCAAATGTTTGATTTGGAAAAACAAAAAACAAAAACAAAACCTAGACTGGGCATGGTGGCTCATGCCTGAAATCCCAACACCTTGGGAGGCAGAGGCTGGACGATCACTTGAGGCCCTGAGTTCAAGAACATCCTGGGCAACATTGTGAAATCACATCTCTACAAAAGAATTACGAAATTAGCCTGGTGTAGTGGCATGCACCCATAGTCCTAGCTACTTGGGAGGCTGAGGCAAAAGGGTCATCAGCCCAGGAGTTTGAGGCTGCAGTGAGACGTACTTGGGCCCCTGCACTCCAGCCTGGGTGACAGAGAGAGAGACCCTGTATCAAAAACAAAAACAGAAACAAAAAAAATAAAAACAATTAAATAGGTGGTTCTGGGAAGAGGCTTCTTACAAAAAGAAGAAAAAAAATAGTTAGAACCATGCCGTCCATCAATATGATTGGCAGTCAACTATACTAATCAATGGACTTATTTACATTTAATCTCTCTTTTTTTTTTTTTTTAGACGAAGTCTCACTCTAGTCCCCCAGGACCAGATCACGCAATGGCGTGATCTCGGCTCACTGCAACCTCCACCTCCCAGGTTCAAGCGATTCTCCTGCCTCAGCCTCCCGAGTAGCTGGGATTACAGGCGCCTGCCACCACGCCTGGCTAATTTTTGTATTTTTAGTAGAGACGGGGTTTCACCATATTGGTCAGGCTGGTCTCGAACTCCTGACCTCAGATGATCTGCCCGCCTCCACCTCCAGAAGTGCTGGGATTACAGATGTGAGCCACTGTGCCTGGCCTCTCTTCCTTATTTTGTATAGCCTTTTGGAGACTTTTTCCTTTAAGATTTTTCTCCGCTCGACACAATGGCTCATGCCTGTAATCCCAGCACTTTGGGAGGCTGAGGCAGGAGCACTGCTTGAGCCCAGGAGTTTGAGACCAGTCTGGGAACAAAGTAAGATGCTGTCTCTATACAGAAAGTACAAAAATTAGCCAGGTGGCTAATTTTATTGGTTTGCACCTGTAGTTCCAGCTACTCAGAAGGCCGAGGTAGGACGATCATTTGAGTTGAGGAAGTTGAGGCTGCAGTGAGCCAAGGTCATGCCACTGCACTCCAGCCTGGGTGACAGAGTGAGACTTCATCTCTTGAAAATTTGCTTATTTATTATTTTCTTTATACAAGTTATATATACCTATTGTAAAAATAAATAAATAAATAAGAAGTATGAAAAAACATAACAAAGAGAAAAACTCCACAATGTTACTACCCAGAGACATACAGAGACCATTAACACAATGGCCTGTTTCCTCGGATAATTTTTTTTTTTTTTTTTTTTTTAGACGGAGTCTCGTTCTTTCGCCCAGGCTGGAGCGCAGTGGCCGGATCTCAGCTCACTGCAAGCTCCGCCTCCCGGGTTCACGCCATTCTCCTGCCTCAGCCTCCCGAGTAGCTGGGACTACAGGCGCCCGCCACCTCGCCGGGCTAGTTTTTTTGTATTTTTTAGTAGAGATGGGGTTTCACCGTGTTAGCCAGGATGGTCTCGATCTCCTGACCTCGTGATCCGCCCGTCTCGGCCTCCCAAAGTGCTGGGATTACAGGCTTGAGCCACCGCGCCCGGCCCCTCGGAGAATGTTTATATTTTTTATTTTTTTTAAGACAGAATTTCACTCTGTCGCCCAGGTTGGAGTGCAGTGGCATGATTTTGGCTCACTACAACCTCTGCTTCCCAGATTCAAGCGGTTCTCCAGCCTCACCCTCTCGACTGGCTGGGACTGCAGGTGGGAGCCACCAACACCCACCTAATTTTTGTATTTCTGGAGAGACAAGACTTTGCCACGTGGGCCAGACTGGTCTCAAGCTCCTCAGTTCAAAGCAATCCACCTGCCTTGGCTTCCCAAAATGCTAGGATTACAGGCATGAGCCACTGTGCCCGGCCTAGAGAAATTTTTCAAGCCTACTTTTTTGTTTCTGCCTGCCCTGCTTAGATGCTTTTTGTTTTTCCCTTCAGTATTTTTGCTAACAAAAGAGAATCCTTGTTGTGACCCTTCTGAATGTGAATAAAACTTCCCAGCTGCTGACTGTCACGTGGCACCTCTATAGTAGGTGCATAGGAAAAGTTTGCTTATTAAATATGACTGATTATTTCCAGGGACCTAGTGAATTAATTCTTGCCTAACTGGCCCTATTCATAAGCTAAATCACATGAGATATGAAATTAAGTGCACTTTAGAAAGTCCACCACACTATGAAAATTAGTAAGTATGGCTTTAGCAGTTACTTAGCACTAAGGATGAAGAAGCTAATGTAAAGGAGGTGAAAGTTACTGAACTCACCTCTCCTTCTTGCCAGTATAGTTTTAAAGGATAAGCTCTGGAAAGCCATGGGACCCCAAACTATTCTGAAAACCAAGCTTATGCATTTGGTTTCCACATTACATGTCACCTAAACCTACTCAAAATCTTTAGTAAGGACTGAGAAAATAGCCCTTATTTTGTGTACAATAAAATTTGGGGTTCTAAATTTCTAATTCATGTCTTTTATTTAAGTTCCCACACAAAGCCTCGCATCCAGTTTTTGCAGCACCTCCACTGTTTCAGCATATCCTTTTCAGATCATTCACCAGACAGCATCCTACAGCTCTCATTCATAAAGTCCAATTATAAGACAAGAAATGTCAGGAATATACACTTTGAGAGTGGGAGGCAAATAGAACAGTACATTGTGACTTTGTAAGAACAGCCATGCATTTCCTCTGGGCTTGTTTTCAGTTCCTTTGTCAGCTGATTACATGGTCTTTTATAATTTCTCATCTACAGAATGAAGCTATTTGCTTGTGGATTATTTGAAAGACACAGGCTTATGCAAAAGAAAAACGAAATCATCATGAGGTAGAATGGTATTTCTGACTAGCTTTTTTTTCTTTTCTTTTTTTCTTTTAACACAATGTGAGAACACAATTTAAAATTGTGGTTCTTTAGAGATATGAAACAAGTAAATACTCTGTTAATTCAATCTTAATGTATATGTAATGCTATATATGTATTTGTTTTTCATATAATTGCCTTATCAATAATATTATTTATTTTTACATAAAGAAGAATGCTGTCTTACATACATTTTGTTTTCAAAGCACAAAAATTTTCTAGGCACACACATTGTACTGCCTGATTCCTACTTTTCCTTTAGTTGTTCAACAGTACTTCACAGTTTAGAAAGTGGTTTCATATCCATTATGCTATTAATTCTCATAATATTCCCCCAGTGTAAAACTAGTCAAAGTACTTTGGGCGGCTGGGCGCGGTGGCTCAAGCCTGTAATCCTAGCACTTTGGGAGGCCGAGACGGGCGGATCACGAGATCAGGAGATCGAGACCATCCTGGCTAACACGGTGAAACCCCGTCTCTACTAAAAATACAAAAAATTAGCCGGGCGAGGTGGCGGGCGCCTGTAGTCCCAGCTACACCGGAGGCTGAGGCAGGAGAATGGCGTAAACCCGGGAGGCGGAGCTTGCAGTGAGCTGAGATCCGGCCACTGCACTCCAGCCCGGGCGACAGAGCGAGACTCCGTCTCAACAACAACAACAAAAAAAAAGTACTTTGGGCTTTAAATCCTTGTCTGTGGCATTATGCTTCTATCCAGCCCCATAAGTTTCCTCTTCCCTCTGGTGTATAACCTTTACTTGCTTATCTTTAGAAACTTAGCTCCTGGTCACCTCCTCTGTGAAGCCTTTCCCCAATAAAATAAGTGACTTCCTCTCTCACTGTATCCCTTCACTGCTCTATAGATACGTTTTTAAGGAAAGGCTTTCAAAAGTCTAGTTATTTTTAAAATTCACATAGTATATTCTTTTTATTTATTTATTTTTGGGGCTGAGTCTTGCTGTGTGGCCCAGGCTAGAGGGCAGTGGTGTGATCTCGGTTGACTGCAACCTCCGCCTCCCGGGTTCAAGGGATTCTCCTGCCTCAGCCTCCCGAGCAGCTGGGACTACAGATGCGTGCCACCACACCCAGCTGATTTTTGTATTATTTGTAGAGATGATGTTTCACCATATTGGCCAGGCTGGTCTCGAACTCCTGACCTCGTGATCCACCTGCCTCCACCTCCCAAAGTGCTGGGATTACAGGTGTGAGCCACCGCACCCAGCCCAACATAGCATGTTCTTATAAAATTACTATAATAATCTCTTAGACTTGTGAGTCAATAATCACTCGAAAATAAAAAGTTAAAAACAAACATGTATGTCAAACAAATATGTCAGCATATACAGATCTTCCAGATCACTTTAAAATACCATATATAAATAGTATTTCACACTATGAGTGTTGTATACCCACATTGTTCAGTAGAAGTTTGTGTGATAATGGAAATGTTCCATATCTGTTCTTTCCACTGTGGTCATCACCAGCCTCAGGTGGCACTTGAAATGTGGATAGTACAAATGAAGAACTAAATTTTTAATTTTATTTAATTTAAATTTAAATAGTCAAATGTGGCGTGGCTTGTGGTTACCATGTTGTACAGCAGATTTATACTTTAATCTATTGACAGTAATTTAGATTGTTTCCAATCCCCTCCCGGCTCCACACAGTACAAGCAAACTAAGTGTTATCTAGTAAAGTAAACCATGAGAACAAAAATGAATTGTTTATCCCTTCTTATACATATTAACTCTCTAGAAGCCTGTGTTCATTCTAATGCTGCCCCCTTTGAAGTTCTACATGAACTTACTGAATCAAGTAGGTAAAAGGACACTTATAGTAAAGGTATTTCCTATATGAAAGAATGATTTTAAATGTGCAGCAAATAAAAATATTTTTCAAAAAAAGAAAAGATGCAAAAAAAGATTTTTTTTTTGAGACAGAGTCTCACTCTATCACCAAGGCTAAAGTACAGTGGCACGATCTCAGCTCACTGCAACCTCCACCTCAAGCGGTTCAAGTGATTCTTCTGCCTCGCCTCCTGAGTAGCTGGGATTACAGACGCGCACAATCACACCTGGCTAATTCTTGTATTTTTAGTAGAGATGAAGTTTTGCCATGTTGACCAGGCTGGTCTCTAACTCCTGACCTCAAGTGATCTGCTCGCCTCGGCCTCCCAAAGTGTTGGGATTATAGGAAAAAATATTTAATGCCAGCATTGATTATAGCAGTAAAACATTGGAATCAATTGAATATCTAACCATGGGGAGTTGGTTCTAGTATGATATTTTATTATTTTTTTTGAGATAAGGTCTCACTCTGTTCCCCAGGCTGCAGTGCAATGGCGCAATGACAGCATACTGCAGCCTCAACCTCCCCAGGTTCAGGTGATCCTCCCACCTCAGTCTCCCAAGTATCTGGGATCACAGGCACACACCACCATACTTGGCTATTTTTTTTTTTTTTGTCTATTTTGTAAAGACAAGGTGTTTTCATATTGCACAGGCTGGTCCAATATTTCATGATCCTCCATATAATGGAGAGCAATACTGTCATTGGAAATGACAATGATTGTAGTTTATTAACATGAAAACAAGTCTATCATATATTTTCAAGTGAAAAAAACACAGAACAGTCTGGGTGCAGTGGCTCATGCCTGTAATCCCAGCACTTTGGGAGGCTGAGGCAGGAGAATCACTTGAGGTCAGGAGTTTGGGACCAGCCTGGCCAACATGGTGAAACCCCATGTCCACTAAAAATATAAAAATCAGTCAGGCACGGTGGCGTGCCTGTAGTCCCAGCAGCTAGGTGGGAGGCTGAGGCAGGAGAATGACTTGAACCTGGGAGGCGGAGGTTGCAGTGAGCCGAGATTGCGCCACTGCACTCCAGCCTGGGTGACAGAGCAAGCCTCTGTTTAAAAATAATAATAATAATAATTCTATCACGAAGACAGATGCACACAAATGTTCATTACAGCCCTATTCACAATAACAAATACATGGAATCTACCTAAATGCCTATCAGTGGCAAATTGGAGAAAGAAAATGTGGTATATATACACCATGGAAAACTATGCAGCCTTAAAAAACAAGATTATATCTTTTGAGGGAATGTGGATGGAGCTGGAGGCTATTAGCCTCAGGAAACTAACACAGGAACCGAAAACCAAACACCTCATGTTCTCACTTGTAAGTGGGAGCTAAATGAAAGAACTTATGAACACAGGCGGATGGATCACTTGAGGTCAGGAGTTCGAGACCCTCCTGGACAACATGGTGAAACCCATCTCTATTAAAAATCCAAAAACTAGCTGAGTGAGGTGGTGGGTGCCTGTAATCCCAGGAGGCTGAGGGAGGAGAACCATTTGAACCCGGGAGTTAGAGATTGCAGTGAGCTGAGATTGTGCCATTGCACGCCGGCCTGGGCAACAGAACAAGACTTGGTCTCAAAAAAAGAGAACTTAAGACACTGGGGTCTACCTGAGTAGGGAGGGAGGGAGGGAGGAGAGGAGCAGAAAGGATAACTATTGAGTACTGGATTTAATACCTGGGCGATGAAATAATATGTACAACAAACCCTGAGACATGTGTTTACCAGTATAACAAACCTTCATATGTACCCCCAAACTAAAAACAGAAGTTAAAAAAATGAAAAGAGGCCGGGCGCGGTGGCTCAAGCCTGTAATCCCAGCACTTTGGGAGGCCGAGACGGGCGGATCACGAGGTCAGGAGATCGAGACCATCCTGGCTAACATGGTGAAACCCTGTCTCTACTGAAAAATAAAAAAATAAAAAAAACTAGCCGGGCGAGGTGGCGGGCGCCTGTAGTCCCAGCTACACGGGAGGCTGAGGCAGGAGAATGGTGTAAACCTGGAAGGCGGAGCTTGCAGTGAGCTGAGATCCGGCCACTGCACTCCAGCCCAGGCGACAGAGCAAGACTCCGTCTCAAAAAAAAAGAAAGAAAAGAAAGTTACTTAATAATATGCATAATATGGACCTTTTTTCATAAACACATATGTGCATATATAAATTTTTGTTTAGTGGTGAGTCAGTATACCTGGTTGAGAGCATAAACCTTTGAGTCAGACCAATCTGGGTTCGAATCTAGGTCCTGCCACATATCATCTATGTGATTTTGGATATATCTCTAACCTTTCTGAATTTTGGTTTCCTCATTGCTAAAACTGGATGATAAATTTTCATCTGGGGATTGATGTTTAAGTAATGTATGTAAAACAATTGGTGCATATGTAGTGTTTAATTATTGGTAGTTGTTTTTCTAAGACTAGTATGAATGGGCATGGAAAGAAGTATGATATTTACCAGTCTGTTGAAAGTGATTGTCTCTGGGTTGTAAAGTCATGGTTGAATTTGTGTTATTGTTTAATTAAATGGATCAATGACTTCTTAAATATGAAAAAAATCCATAAAAATTATGTGAATATAAAACGAAAAAAGTGAGCAAACTCTGTATGTACTAATGTAGAAATATGCCAAGATACTACATTGCAGAGCAGTATAGTTAATGTGATCCTATTTGTGTTCAACAATCTTTTTTTGGTAAAGAAATATAAGGTTACCTTTGAGAAGTAACTCTGGATGATCTAACAAAGGGCACAAAAAAAAATCTTTTTTCATTCATGCTTTTTGATACTAAGTTTTTACTGTGATTTTCTTGTATTTAATTTTTTTTAAAATTATTATTAAGTAAGTCCTGTAAGACTTGGAAAGAGAAAGAAAAACAAATTGCCTTTCATTTACTTCTACCTTTGCCCAATATGAAGAAATATTGTTTTCAAAGGCATAAGGAGGATTCTGAAATTTCTTCAATATCGGCAACTTTCTAATTCAATTGAAGACTGTGACAATTCTGTCACTATACCATAGTGTTTCTGTAATTTCTTATTTTCTCTACTAAAATACTATCAATATTTATTGAACATTTATTAAGATAAAAGCAAGCAAGATGAG